CGGAGATTCACTTTGACATTTTGACTGGAACCACTAGTAGTACATATAGCATTAGGGTGAAATATAAGCATTGAAACTCAATGGGGAATGATTGTTCGACACAAACACGAGCGTGGTTAAATCTCTTTTGAAACCACAAATAGTCGATGGAATAACCCAATTGACCGAGAAAACCCCTCTTATAGGGGACATCTAAACAACCCATTTCATCAGTGATCGACTCAACTGGGTAGGAGACACAACCAACACTGGGAGATGTTGAAACTAACACATACATTAATACCAACAAAAACAAAAACAAGCACAAAACACATAAACTAAAAGAAACGGAAACCTATGAACATTTCCATAATGAAACTCCGATGAGGGACTAGCCGGTGGAGGAGTCGTTGGGAGGGCTTTGGAAGACCCATGGCGAAGCCGAAAACCGGCCTTCAAGCAACATCAAAACACCCTCACCCACTGCCTTCACCACCGCCACCGGAAACCAACCCCACTACCACCAAAAGAAGCTCACCATCAAGCAGAACGAATCCCCGGAGGAGCTCGACCACCAAACGAGAGGGACGCCTGAAAACGTAGCCCAAAAGTTCTACACCCAACTACCAATCCGAGTTAGATCCACCTAAATAGAACCATCACACTACACACCGCACCACCAAATCGAAGCCCATAACGAGACGAGCTAGAGGATCAAGTTCTTGGTCGGGAGCCTGGTAACATGCTCAAAGACGGTGCCGGAGCTGGCACATGTTGCTCTCCAAATTACTACAAAAAAAAAAAAAAAAAACTCTCCAAATTACTACAAGGGGAAAAAAACGGTGACACTGATTTGTAATCGTCAAATTTAAGTGTTGGCTAGTTAATCAGTCTAATGACTCATGTTAGCTAACATATGGGAAGAACAATTCATTTGTATAAATAAAGTGACATACTGATATTGAATTACTTTTAAATGTTATTTTTTAAAATAATTAATTACTTTTAAATGTTAAAACTGAAAATTAATTCAATGCCTTTTCCATATTCTTAATGAAACAGTCCGGTGTTTGCTATTATAGAAAGCAAGCAATATGGCTACGAAAGAAATTATTCCTAATACGTCGTACCACATCACCAATGTATTTACAAGATTTATCCATCCAATAAATATTTTTTAGATTAGGGTGATCTTTTCATATTAATTTTATTTAATCATTTTCTTGCGTTTTACCATTATTGTATCATCGTGGTTCGGTTTTGTACCCTAGTCGTAGATTCGGGTCCGTTTAGTTTGATGTTATAAATTCCGAAACTTATTCTAAGGTGGATTAGGCAGCGCAAGAAAAACTGCCAAAATCAATCTGAGGACACCTCAATGACACAGTTTGGATTAGGTTGTTGTCTTTTATCTAAGTTCGATTTTTCCTAATTTTTTTTTCAACTATGCCATTCCCTTCAAGTACGAATTAAACTAAAAGCGTGTTCTTCTTGGTAATTCTTGTACACAACTTTGGTTCGAACGATAATTTGGAGAAACCAATATACATGGCACAAAATCTTAATTCTACAATATATGATGAGAACATTAGCATTTTATAATTGGATCATATGAAGAAGTTCGAGGACCACAAATTACCGTGGTATGATGTCACGAATGCGTGAGAGGGTTTTTTTTTTTTTTTTTTTTTTT